CCATCTCCCATTGGGCCTATTTCAGGTCAGTGGGTAGGATTTTACCTGAGGCATTTGCATCTAGACTGCCAAAAACTGTGAAATCCCACTACCATTCTGATCTTGATTGACACGCCAAGCCTCTGCGGAAGCGCTTTTCCTGGAGGATGGCTGAGGGCAGGGGAGGGCGGGACCGCGAGCCTTACTGGTACCTGCGCAGGCTCCGCCCTCAAGAGAAGCTGGTTGCCAGTGCGCAGGCGCAATATGGAGGCGAAGCTAGGGCTGTAGGGGCGGGAGAAGAGGGTAGGAGGGAGGGGCGGGGCTAATGGCGATAAGGAGGCGGGATCAGAAACGAGGGGCGTGGCCTCGGTTTCCCCAGGCAGGCGGTGGGTGAAGGCCAGGGGCCAGGGGCCAAGGCAGGAGCCCAGGACTCTGCGTCTTGCGGGATAAGGGCGAGGCCCGCGGCACTTGGAGCAGAGGAGTCAGCCAGGTGCCCACCCTCCCTGCCGAGTCCTCCACTCACTTGTCCTTCTGAGTTCCTTGGCTTGCATGAGGTTCTATGAACACATTTTCCGGCTTCTTCATGCTTCTTTCAGAGAGATTATTGGCACCTACGCTGCAGATGTTGCCTGCAACATGAAGCGGAAAGCCCCAGATACTAGCCAGCATAATCCAGAGCAGCGAGTTCAAAGAGTGCGCCGTGACCAGGAAATGTAAGGAAGGTTGAATGCTAAGAAAGCTCTTAATTTTCTATACCAAAAGACTAAAAGAAAATAATCATCTGGTCATCTGCATCAGCTTTGAAAAGGTAAAAATGACGGGTTATCTGATTTTACCAGAGGTATTTGCCTTTAGTCTATTACCAATAGCAGAAAATCAAATTACCATTCAGATTATTAAGTTACTTTCTCTGACATCATCATCACATATATGCACATAATTCACTGTTTACTTAGGGCAATGACACTCCAATTTCTTTCACAAATCATGTGTTTTTATGAGACAGTGCTACAGGTCAACCTCTCTGGATACCCACAACAGCTCAACCTGAAGAGAAGGTGTCTCTTGTTCCAACTGAAAATATGTAATTTTTTTTAACATTAAAACAATGGAATTTTATTTTGATGAAAAACAAGTTTACAATCATTTAGTATATGAAGAGCAAACACTTCATTTGCCTATCCCATAACTTTCAAAAAAAAATCATTAGTAAATAAATATCTGTGAACAGATTAAGGGTAAGGCAGACCAGATAATAACCCACCTCTGATGTTCACACACACTACATGTGACTCACTTGAAAAGGATGAAAACGGCACTGAGATAACTGACAAGATATGGTTGAATCTCATCCTCATCATTCAAATAAGCCCAGTGATACTCATTTTTTGCTCATCATGGGCAGCAAACTATACATATTTTACTGAAGGAATACTTTGATAGAAGCACTTATTTAAATTATATTGTGCATCACAACTATAAACCTACTAGTAAACAAATACATTTATATAACTGGAACCTCAAGATGCTAGAGTTGTACTCATTTAAAAAACCATTCAGCTACCTTTGGTCTTTAAAAAAAGCCTACACTGCAACATCCTAAACATCGTCCTGTGCATCTCACAATGAAGAGAGTGGCCTTGCAGTGCAGGATGAGGAGAGTGCAGCGTCACTGTGGAGAGTAGCATGCTATGGTTTCAAGGAACATCACCGTCACAGCATCGGATTCTGTGCGTCAGGATCGAGGTCATTGTTGCCAGAAGGGGGATGGATGGGTAGAATATCCAGCTCATCCACTTGCGGAGTCGGATGCATGACTACCAGCTGGTCCTGGGGAATGTCTGCGGCAGCGGCGGCAAGATTGGTGATAGATTTACTCTTCACACACTGAAAGTCTACATGCCAGCTCTTTCCTTCTTCCTTCTCCCAAGACTTTCGAATAAAGGGTCTTTGGACATAGTTGTAAATCACCTCAGGGCGGCCCCCAGGCCTTTTCTTTACTTTTTCTTTGTAGGTAGGATAACCTTCTATTCCCAGTCTAATCTTCTTAAGACCCCTCTCCTTCAAAACTGATTTGGCCACATCTCTGTTTTCAATGTACTTGAAAAATCTATATAATTCTGTGCTATAAATAATTTGTGAATATTCTTCTCCCATCTGCAGTGGATACTCTTCATCCCAATCAACTACATCATCATCTGTAAGCAACACTATGTGGCATTCACGTTCCCCACTCTGGGCACTGGCTACCATGAGAGGCAGGATCATTTCTTCCAAGTAAAATTCAAACTGTCTGCGAGCACCATCATTTGACAACTCATGCATTAGGGCACTGAGATCTCTACATTTAATAGTACTATATTCGAAAGAGATACAAAGATAGTCACAAGCTTCTCTCAATTCAGGAATACATATGCCATCAGGACAACGGATTATTCCTGTTTTATAATAATCCAGAATTGCTCGAAATACAGTAGAGCCAATTCCTTCTGCCACCTCATACTCTCCCTTCTCATTAGGACGTGTAAAGTTATGTTCTCTGCCAGATCCAAACATCCTGCCCAACATTGTATTTGGCTGTGCAGTAAAAATGGACGGGTCTACAACAAATCTAGTGTCACTCGTTCTGAAGTTCTTACATTCCGAGCTCCTTCTTTTGCATTTTCATACACAAACACCATTTCCCCAGATGTCTTACAGCTACTATCTGAACTTGACTGACTACTGTTTCTGCTGCTGTTCCCAGCACTGCTACTGGATCCATTTGGAGAGGCTTTCTGAGGATGAGGACTGCTTGGACGAGAGGATCTTTTTCAGGTTCAACATAGTGCTGTCGTGTTGGAGAAGTAACATTTATAATACAAGGAGTGAGCTGAGATTCTGTTCTTTCATGAGATGAATCTCGTGATCTGCCACTTGACCTTCGTCTATCTCTTGATCTCTCATGTCCCCCACTAGCACCGTGCAGACTCATTTTGGTGTGGTCGACAGCTCCTTTAGCAACACGTGAGGGAGTGCTCAAAGACAAAATAAACATCCATGTAAACAGGCTGCAGAAAGAAAACTAGAGCACCAACTTGAATGTTTATAAAGTTTACGAGGTCTACTATGCAATTTCCGATCCCAATTCTCTGGATCACTGGAGTTACTGTCATAGGGATGAGGCCGTCCTGCCATCCCACTTCAAGCTTCCTCACACTACTGCTCTGAAAGCATACATGTAGCACCCATAACCTGTAATCCCCTTTGAGCGTCCAGGCACAGGCCAGGGCCAGTGACACCTCGGCTTCCTCCCCAACTAGATTCCTCCAGAGAGGTGTCTGTGGCTGCGGCCGCCCGAGCGGCTGCGGCTACTAAAGCCGCCCCAGCAGGTTTACAAAAATATGTAATTAACTAACCTGTTTGTTGTTCAGATTTTAGTTGAACTCTCATTTAATATACTGCGTATATATTGGAACATTTAAGGGAATCTTAATTTTATGGATTTCATATGTTTACTTTTTGAAAAATCGATAGATTTAGTATTCATGAAGGTTTTACTCACTGACTGCTTTTTTCCCCCTTGCAAATCTGTTCTTCCTCTGTCTTCTGCCCCTTGATCAATGAAAGTGCTTTTCTTCATATTGCTTAGGCCAAGCACCTTGGCATCCTCCTGGACTCCTCTGTTTCTTTCATGTCCCACACGAACTCCATCAGCAAATCCTCAGTTCTGCCTTCAACATGTAAGCAAAGGGCTGCACATCCAGGGACAGGAGGAATTGCTGTGGCCTTTTTTCCAGTCAATTCACCACCGTCTGTATGTGGAAATATGAGCCAATACCTAGAAGTGGAGTCCCATAAACAGAATATGGACTCATAAAAGACATGAGGTAATATATAGAAACAAAGTCAGTATGTAAGTTATGTGCTTACACAAGGTGTATAAATCCCTTCTAATCCACCAGGGTGAACACAGAATCCAAAATGGGTGTAGAGGAAACATCTGTGGATTTGCAAGGGGTTAGCATTTCAGCTCAGTGTGCTCTCTCCATATCCTAAGAGGAGTAGAAAATCAAAGGAATCTCCTTTCTACCCCCAGGAGAGTAGAGGAGACAAGAAACATATAGCCCACAACTTGTTGTGCAAAGTTGCACAAAGTTCAGATGTAGGATTAGAGTTTTAGACCATTGTTTGGGATCAAGAAAACTTTGTGATTGATGGAAGAAAATTTCACAGTTGAGGTATGGGGAAACCATTCTGGCTTCTATGTGATTTAGCTTGAATTTTATGCTAATGAGAACAGCCTGTCTTATGACCTGTTTATCATGCAGTGTACATCTACTTTAGCCATTCAGAAAAGAATTTATTATCCAGAAGCAAAGAATGTCCACTTTGAAGGTAGGGATAAATGCTATCTTGTCCTATGATGCTTATGCTAGTATTCCTTCCCAGATTTCAAGGTCCTGCTGATTTACCCTCTATGTGCTAGTCTATGCTTTTTGAAATCTTGAAGGAATGTACCCCTGCATGTTTCTTCCTGATGGTTCTTTGTTCTGAGAAGATACAAAACTGTGATGAAAACCATGCTTCTCCAGCACAGCTTCTGAGAATTCCTGATAAGTTGTTCCCTAGGCTATAGCCCTCAGTTTGGCTTAAAGAACACTTTTCTATTTCTATTCCTGTTACAGATCGGATATTGGTTATTTGTGTTGACACGATGATAAATAAGGCATGGGTTGGCACCATCTAAGTTAGAAGTTCTAACGTGATATGGACTAGAGTTCTGAGCAGGTTCCAAACATTGGTTCTTGTTTTCGTTCCAGTATGAATAGAAAGGACGACCTCCCCTCCCCAACCCAAAGGATTGGTCATCACGGTGATACTTTGTTCTTTGACAATATCTTTTATTGGAGGCACTACAAACACTCTGAAAACACACCTCTGTGAGGTTATCTACAAGACCTTCTAGAACAAACAACCCCAAAAGATGTCCTTTTCATTATAGGAGACTGGAATGCAAAAGTAGGAAGTCAAGAAACACCTGGAATGCGGTTTGCTTCAAGGAAGAATGGAACGAAGAAGACCCTTTGTCAAAGGAGGGGCAGACGTGGTGTGAAGGTAAGATGACTCCAACTCAGCTTCCCATGTTCTGCATTGACTTTGCTGCCCAAGACCTCTACCCTGCCCATGCCTGGCACAAAAGTCCCCATTAGCTCACATTTCTTTCTCATGAAATCTCCCTTCCACCTCAGTTTTTATGTCCTTTCCTCCAAACTGATACCCTTGTCTTGTCTTCCAGGCACGAAATATGACCATGAGGGTCAGAAGACCTCTACGAGGTAGCTTCAGAAAGAAAATCCGACCGTATGCCACTCAATCGACGAAGCCAAAGAAAACAAGAAATTCAAACCGTTTCTTCTCTGGCTGTGGACGTAAGAAATCACATCGAAGCCGAAAGAGGTACCAAAATATGAGGCAAAGTCATGGAAGGGGGCAGAATCCAAAGAGAAAATAAGCTCAGCCGCCCCAAAACAAGAGACCCTGGAGAAGTACAACGTTGGCAGCCAGTTAATGAATAGCAAAGGTCAGACAGTTTAGAATTGTGTCTCCAGGGCTCTGCTTTGTTAGCAATGGCCAACCGAGAAAAGACTCTCACACTAACATAGTAAGCCGATGGCTGCAAATAAAAGAAACCTCAAATGGTGAAAAGATGATATTTGTGTGTGTGTGCATTTTCTGATGGAAGGGAGGGAAAGAAGAGTAGAGGTGGGCACTGGAAACGGGAGGGATATGTGGTCCTGAGAGGATGGGGAACAGACCCTCGGGTCCCCAGTTAGCCAGAGAGTAGAGGTGTGGAGTGGGTTAGGAGTCTGCACTGATGATGGATAAATAAAGTCTTTTGTTAGTCCAACTTCTACAAGTTTATCATGGTTTAAAAGAAAGAGAATGCAATCTTAAATTTGGTGTTAACTTTCAGTTTAAAATGTTTTAAAAATTTCAAGGAGAAGTTAAACAAATATGGAGATATATAAGGCAGAGGTTCTGATGATGAGAATCCTGTGTGTCTTCAGAAAACTTTTTAGAAGCAGCCAGAAAACAGAGTTTCACCATGAGCATCCAAAGAGTTGAGTTCCAATTGTAACTCAATGATATGTTATCTTTGATCTGGACTGCAGCTGCCTAATTCACATTTTCTGGCACTCTAATGCCTGGGTGACCCCACTGATGATTCAAAGTCAGTCACTGAATGTGATTTAAAACCTATGAGTGAAAGACCCCTGGGTGTGCTGCCTGTTTTTCTTCTTTTTAAGTTCTTTCATTTTAATTGATTTATTTCATTTGGAGGCTAAATACTTTACAATATTATAGTGGTTTTGCCGTATATTGTCATGAGTTAGCCATGGATGTACATGTGTTCCCCATCCCGAACCCCCTTCCCACCTCCCTCCCCATCCCATCCCTCAGGATCGTCCCACCGCAAAAGCCCAGAGCACCCTGCCTCATGCATCCAAGCTCTAGTGGAAATCTGTTTCACATACATGTTTCAATGCTATTTGCTCAAGTCATCCCACTCTCGCTTTCTCTCACAGATTCCAAGAGTCTGTATTTACCTTTGTGTCTCTCTTGCTGTCTCACATATAGGGTCATTGTTACCATTTTTCTAAATTCCATTTATATGCATTAATATACGGGATTGGTGTTTTTCTTTCTAACTTCCTTCAGTCTAAAATAGGCTCCAGCTTCATCCACCTCATTAGAACTGATGCAAATGCATTCTTTTTAATAGCTGAGTAATATTCCACTGTGCATATGTAGCATGGCTGCTTATCCATTCGTCTGCCCATGGACATCTAGGTTGCTTCCATGTCCTGGCTAGTATTAACAGTACTGTGATGAATACTGGGGTACACGCGTCTCTTTCAATTCTGGTTTCCTTAGTGTGTATGCCCAGCAGTGGGATTCCTGGGTAGTAGGGAAGTTCCATTTCCAATTTCTGAGGAATCTCCACACTGTTCCTCTCCAGCATTTATTCTTTGTAGACTTTCTGATACGAGCCGTTCTGGCCAACGTGAGATAGTCCCTCATCGTGGATTTGATTTGCATTTCTCTGATAATGAGTGATGTTGAGCATCTTTTCATGTGTTTGTTAGCCATCTGTATGTCTTCTTTGGAGAACTGTCTGTTTAGTTCTTTGGCCCGTTTTTTGAATGGATCATTTATTTTTCTGGAATTGAGCTGCAGGAGCTGCTTGCATATTTTTGAGATTAATTCATTGTCCATTGCTTCATTTGCTATTATTTTCTCCCATTCTGAAGGCTGTCTTTTCACCTTGCTTATACTTTCTTTGTTGTGCAAAAGCTTTTAAGTTAAAGTAGGTCCTATTCATTTATTTTTTGCTTTTATTTCCATTCCTCTGGGAGGTGGGTCATAGAGGATCCTGTGATTTATGTCAGAGAGTGTTTTGCCTATGTTTTCCTCTAGGAGTTTTATAGTTTCTAGTCTCACATTTAGATCTTTAATCCGTTTTGAGTTTATTCTTGTACATGGGGTTAGAAAGTGTTCTAGTTTCATTCTTTACAAGTAGTTGACCAGTTTTGCCAGCACCACTTGTTAAAGAGGTTGTCTTTTTTCCATTGTATATCCTTGCCTCCTTTGTCGAAGATAAGGTGACCATAGGTTCATGGATTTATCTCAGGGCTTTCCATTTTGTTCCATTGATCTGTATTTCTCTTTGTGCTGTTACTATACTGTCTTGATGACTGTAGCTTTGTAGTATAGCCTAAGTCAGGCAGGTTGGTTCCTCCAATTCCATTCTTCTTTCACAAAATTGCTTTGGCTATCCAGAGTTTTTTGTTATTTCCATACAAATTATGAAATTGTTTGTTCTAGTTCTGTGATCTCTATAGAACTTTCAGAATTTGTCCTCTGTCATGATGGAGCAAGTGAAAGGATGAAATATTTTCCCTTCTTACTAGTCCTCAATTCCATTTGTCATTAAAAGACTATTCATTTCTGAAGAGCTAGCATGGCTAAAATGGAAGACAGATTTCTAGTTTGTTATATATAATGTAGACATCAATTTTTTTTTCTGCAGACTTCAATCTATTTTTAATTATACTGATACAACTACTGATGAATAATTTATTTTTCTATGTAGATCAATACTAAGAATGATATGGATCCTTTCCATAATCTCATCCCCAACCTTTTAAACACTGCAGTTCTATACAGTATTGATGAATGTCTGCTCCAACCTGCAATTACACCAATATCATCAGTATATTCCATGATTTTCTGATTGAACATTTCTCCAAAGCTCTTAATGTAGGAATTTAATATGTGATAATACTTTCCTATTTATAGAAGCCCCATACCTAAACACTAATTTAAAAAAAAAGCTTTAGATTTATAAAATGCTTACATTCAGCTGTACAACCATACCAGTACTTGACAGACTTTTGGCTGGCTGTCTTAAAAAGAAACGCTGTCTATTCTGTAAATCAATAGTCACCTTCCCTGCATTTCTTTATTAAAATTATTTTTCAGAGATAGGGTCTTTCTCAAAGAGCAAAACAAGTAGAATATTTTCTATAGATGTATCCTATATATAGGATGTGGCCTGTGTATACTATCCTGACTTACACAGAGAAACTTTTAAATGTATATATTGGCATATATATGGAAAACCAAACATACATAGAAAAAGTAAAAATATCATATAGTTCTAGAAGAAAGCCATGCAGAAACTAATGTTCCTCAAATTTAGGCTAAATCCATTGTGTCTGAATGCATAAACATAAAATATTAATAATTTCACATGTACAAAGCTCCAACAAATATAATTGCATGGAAACTAATTTGGAATGAAAAACACTTATTGAAAACTCTAAAAGTCATCAGGTGAAAAGAGACACTCAATAGAAAATGATCAAGATAATTGAAAGACTTGAACAAAAACTTGGCCAAAGAAGTCACAGCAATGGCAAATAAGCACAGGAAAAGATGCTGAGCATATTGGCTATGACGGAAATGCAAATTAAAACTATAAAGAGTTCTAACCACTCTCTATCTATCAAAATGGCTACACATTTTTAAAAGGTGACCACACAATAAGGTGGCAAGGATGCAGAGAAACTGGATCATTCATACATTTCTTGTGAGAGTATAAAATGGTACAGCTATCCTGGAAAACAGTTTGACACTTCATTATACAACATGCTATAAACACACAAGTATAATTTGACCCAGAAGTTGTACTCCTGCATATTTATTCTATAAAAATGAACATAAAAACTTTTACATGAAATTTCATTGAAACTTTGTTTGTAGTACCTAAAAATGTAGACAGGCTAAATGTCCTTCAATGAGTGAATGGTTCAACTGTGGTTTAACCATAATTACATAATCATACCAACATACCAGTCACACAGTTAACCATACCAGTAACACTCCTCATCAATAAAATGGAAGAAAATATTAATATACGTAACCACGTGGATGAATCTCAAGTGCATGCCAAAGTAAAACAGGCCAATCTCAAAAAGACATATACTTTATGATTCCATGTATATATTATTCTCAAAATGACAAAATTAGAGACATGGAAAAGAAATCAGTAGTCATAAGGGATTATGGAAAAAGAATGTTGTTATAAGACTGTGGTATTAGGGAATTCATTTATGGTTTCAGAATAGTTCTCTATCTTGATGTGGTTATGCAAATACATGTATATTATATATATATATACACACATATACGTAAATATACATTAAAATATATTATAACCATAATACATAAGAGCTCTCAAACTCACTAATAAGAGAACAAATAAACCCATTAAAATGTGGGAAAATATTTGAAGAGCAATTGGTTGACATAAGATAGGACATAAGTTGTACAGGTGACTCATACACACCAAAAATTAACTAAAATAAATAGTAATTAGTACTGAATGCATATTAAGTATGCAAATTGTATCTTGGATAAAAGAAATAAAATATCTGAGAACATAAACAACTCTCAGGAAAAGAGAGAAACTTAAAGTCTCCTCAGTGACTCATAAGAATGCAAAATGAAAAAAAAAAAAAAAAGAATGCAAACTGGTAAAGACACTTTGGGAAATGTTTTTCATTACTCATAAATATCTTCACACTGGAAAACTGTAATCCCATTCCTAAATATCTCCCACCTAAAACATGAATTTCTGTTCACATAAAACTCTTCATGCCAATGTTTATTGTGGCTCTATTAATAATAGTCCCAAACTGGCAATAACTCAAATGTTATTCAAATGGTAAACCAATACACAAATGGTGCATCCACCCGATGGGATACTATTCAACAAGAAAAAGGGACATGCTATTGATGATTGTAAGAACTTGAAAGTTTTCCAAATTAACTTAAAGAACCAGATCAGAAAGACTACTTACAGTATGAGTTAATAGGCACATGGAAAAACACTGACCATCACTAACAATTAGAGAAATAGAAATCAAAATCACTAGGAGATATCACCTCACAGCTGTCAGAATGGCTATCAACAAATTGAAAAGTCTGAAAATAACATATGATGGCAGGAATGTGGACAAAAGGAAGCCCTTGTACATAATTGCTGGGAATGTAAATTTGTGCACTCACCTTGGAAAACAACGTGGAAGATTCTTAAAAACACTAAAAATAGAACTACCATGTGACCCAGCTATTCCATGCCTAG